ATACGCGCGCGGAGGAGGAGTACCCAGCATGCGCCTGGCGCGTGCGCGCGGGGCACGTACTTTTAGACGTCCATGACCCCCAAGGGGGGAACCCAACCTGGGCGCGTTGGATTCTTTACGTGTAAAAGATTCGTGCGCGGATGGGGGGGGCCAACATGCGCCTGGCGCGTGCGCGCGGAGCAAGTATTTTTGCGTGTCCACGGCTCCCTGGGCGGGGCCTAATTTGAGGCTGTGTACGCATCTTCACATGTCCACGGCCCCAGGGGGGACCCAACTTGAGTGTCCTGGGTTCTTCACACGTGCAAATGCCTACGCGGAGGGAGGGGCCCAATATGAGCCTGGCGCGTGCGCGCGGAGCATGTATCTTCATGTGTCCACGGCCTGCAGGGGGGAACCAAACTTGGGCCCGCCGGTTTCTTTACACGTGAAAGCGCGTGCGCGGAGGGGGCGGGCAACATGCGCCTGGCGTGTGCGCGCGGGGCACGTATTTTTGCGTGTCCACCGCCCGCAAGGGGGGACCCAACTTGGGCCCGCTGGACTCTTTACGTAAAAACACATGCGCGGAGGGGGGGCCAACATGCGCCTGGCGTGTGCGCGCGGGGCACGTATTTTTACATGTCCACGGCCAGTATGGGGGGACCCAATTTTGGCTTCCGCTAGATTCTTTATACGTGGAAATGCTTGCTCCAAGGGGAGGGCCAACATGCATCCCGCGCGTGCGCGCGGGGCACGTAATTTTTCTTGTCCAAGGACACCAGGAGTGGACCCAATTTGGTCACGTCGGCTTCTTCACACGTGCATGGGCACCGCCGTGCAGGAGGGAGATGACGATGAGGAGAAGTAATGTGTAGGGAGGAATGTGATGATGAGGAGGAGGGAGAGAGGAGGAAGGAGGAAGGAGGAAGGAGGAAGGAGGGAGGAGGAGGAACGATGACGAGGACGAGAACGAGGAGGAGGATGAGGAGGAGAAGGAGGAGGAGGATGAGGAGGAGGAGGAGGAGGAGGAGGAGGAGGAGTGTGGGGATGAGGGCGAGGAGGAGGAGGAGGAGGAGCAGGAGCAGGAGCAGGAGGAGGAGGAGGAGGAGGAGGAGGAGGAGGAGGAGGAGGACGGGGAGGAGGTGGATCAGCAGGACGTGCAGGAGGTAGTGGTTGCAGGCTAGCAAAGGAAAGTGTTGCATGCGCGTCAGAAGGAAGCTCGACTCAAGTTCCTTACCGTTTTCGTGGATCCCTCATGCTGTTGCTCTATTGAGCTTTCCTTCGTAGAGTACGACGAGACTTGTAGTAGACATCTGGACGGGGGCAGCACGGCATTGGCAAGCAGTGGGAAGCAATGGCAGGCGTGACATGCCGCACATGTGTCAGCGAATGCCCGAAAGTCACACAGGAGATAGAAGAAGGGAGAGAGTCTACGAGGCACCAGCTAGGCAGAAGTCCATCAACGACCCTCACGGCCCAGTTCCCTCTCCTGGGAGGCGGCTGGCGGATGTGAGCCGCAGGCGTGCACTGTCGCGCGCGTGCGCCTGAGAACGACGTAGGATAAATCGATGTCAATGAACTCCGACTCGCGCCTGCAATCGCGGCGCACGGGCTTGAACTGTTTGCTTTATATGGTGCTCCAGAGGCGATTCACCCACCTGCGTGCATGTGTTTGGAGAATGGCCAGAACGGGGGGAGCATATGCAATAATCGGAAGGCGGGTGGCCCGTGATCAAATCGCCGGATGGTGTCCGCGATTCGTCGTCGACGTTGGCATGCACGGCATGCACCTCCCATGCAAGGGCCTGGGCATCTAGCTAGAAAATGTTCGTTGCCGCGTTCACCTTTACGCGAGCCTAGGAGCGCCCTCGCGGGCGGCCACCTCGTCCCCCTTACCTTGCTCCGTGGCGCAAAGGCCCACGGGCTCACAGCATGCCGCGCTCTTCTTCTTGCTCCCCTGAAGGGGGGAGGGACTCCGCTGAAAGACGGCTCGGCGAGCTATTGGCGGCCAAAAAGCGTACCTGCCAGTGCTGATCTTCTGTCCCCATCTCTGGAGAGGGAGTGTCTGCACCGAATCCAGGCGTCCGCAGGCCCACTCTGGGCTCAGGCTCTGGTGGACGCCGGCTGCCCACAAGGGCCAGATGCGTGCCCATCAGAACCTGGGCCTCGCGTTGGCCTGTGGCTGCTCTGTCAGAGCCCCAGAGCCGACGCAAGCGTGCACTCTGAGGGGAACGAAGAATGACATGAACAAGAAAACTCGGAGGTGCCACGCGCGCCGCAGCGCAGTGGAATCGGGCCAAGGCCGAAGGTGTTGCGCGGACCAGGCCAACACAGACGCACTGGACTGGATGTACACGTCTTCTTCGCTGCCTTTAGATCCTTGGGACGCCAGCGGCGCAGTGCACAGTCCGGTGCTGCCTCGTTGCGCTCGACGTTCGCGCCGAGCGAGCTATGGATTCTTTCGCCGTTCGCTGTCGCTGGTCATCCCCCACCCCACGACCCTTCGCCTCATCTTTTGACGGATGAGGAGGAGGAGGAGCAGGAGGAGGATCATAAGGAGGAGGAGGAGGAGGAGGAGGAGGAGGAGGAGGAGGAGGAGGAGGAGGAAAGGGAGGATCTTTAGGAGGAGGAGGAGGAGCAGGAGGAGGAGGAGGAGGCGGAGGAGGAGGGAGGAGGGGGATCAGGAGGAGGAGGAGGAGGAGGAGGAGGAGGAGAAGGGAGTTGGAGGGAGGAGACAGGAGGAGGAGGAGGGATGATAGTGCTGCTGCTGCTGATGATGCTGATGATGATTATGATGATGATGATGAGCTGCTGATGATGCTGAGTAATACTAATCATGATGCTGCTGATGATGATGGTGGAAGTGGTGGTGATGATGATGCTGATAGTGATGATGCTGATGCTGCTGATGATGATGGTGATAATGATGATGCTGATGCTGATGCTGCTGCTGATGATGATGCTGATGATGATGATGATGATGATGATGATGATGATGATGATGATGATGATGGTGGTAATGATGATGATGCTGATGATGCTGCTGCTGCTGCTGATGATGATGATGATGATGATGATGTTGTTGTGCAGGAGGAGGGGGAGGTGGTGGAGGAGAAGGAGGAGGATGAAGCGGAGGAGGAGGAGGAGGAGGAGGAGGAGGAGAAGGAGGAGGAGGAGGAGGAGGAGGAGGAGAAGGAGCAGGAGGAGGAGGGGTGGGAGGAGGAGGGGGACGGATGAGGAAGAGCCACTCGGCACTTCCTGCTCGGCGCCGCGCCGCGCAGATGGTGCGTTCAGACGCAGGCGTGTCCGTGAGGAGCGGGTCTCCAGCTCTCTGGGCAGGGGGCGCTCGAAGTGCCTCGGGCTGGTGCCGCGACTTCTGGGCCAGGGGCGGCGGAGGGCGGAGGGAAGCCGAGACCCCAACGTAATTCGACTAAGCAACGGCCAGTTTCGACGGCGCAAGACGTGGAGAGGGTATATGCGCTGCTGGAGTAATAATCGCCGCGTGCAAGCTAGATGGCAATGATGTCCGGATGGTGCACAGACGCGGCAAATGGCTGCTTTTGCAGGCGCGCTACTGGCGCTCGAGCACCGCAAGACGCTATCACGAAGCTTTTACCTCTTCAACTCTCTGTTGCTGCACGCGTGCGTTGTTCGTCATCTGAGTGGCCCAACGGCAGCGGGCAGGTAGTGTGTGCGATATTCACACCTCACGCAACAAAACACGATGACACACACACACACGCACAACTCAAACTCAAACATAAGATTTGGGGGGTACGGGAGGATTTCCTGGATCTGCGCTGGGCTTTGGGGCCGCCATCAGAGAAATACTCGGCATGAAAAGCCGGTCCCGGGGAAGGCCTTGGGGTCAAGGATCCACGCGCACCAGGACCCCATATGCTAGCCAGAGATGGTGGCGAGAAAGGTGATGTTCGTCAGAGGGACGAGGAAAAGGACGAGAGCACGGAGGACGATTGGGTGGAGGATAGGCGAGGGAGGGAGTGATTGAGGGAGAGATGGGGGGCAGGGAGGAGGAGGAGGAGAATGAGCAGCAGGAGGAGGAGGAGGAGCAGCAGGAGGAGCAGCAGGAGGAGGAGAAGGAGGAGGAGGAGCAGCAGGAGGAGGGGGAGGAGGATGAGGTGGAGGAGGAGGAGGAGGAGGAGGCAGGAGGAGGAGAGGAGGAGGAGCAGGAGGAGGAGGAGAGGAGGAGGAGGAGGAGGAGGATAGGCAGGAGGATCATGTGGAGGAGGAGGAGGAGGCGGAGGAGGATAAGGAGGAGGAAGAGGAGGATGAGGAGCAGGAGCAGGAGGAGGAGGAAGAGGAGGAGGAGGAGGAGCAGGAGGAGGACGAGGAGGAGGAGGAGGAGGAGGAGCATGAGCATGAACATGACCATATGACTAAGTCAATGAATCCACCGCAACATAAAAGCCACCCACTGGCCATCTCCAAGTAGATGAGGGAATGGTAGGTACACGGCCACAACCATAGAAACTGACAACGTTCAGCTGAGGTGAAATCGGCTCCATGGAGGAGAAGGGCGAGGATGAGGAGGAAGAGGAGGAGGGTGATGCTGATGCTGCGGAAGATGATGACGCTGGCGTTGAGAATGATGCTGATGCTGATTATGTTGATGATGCGGATGCTGCTGATGATGAGGATGATGAGGATGCTGATGAGGATGATGATGAGGATGAGGATGATGAGGATGAGGTTGAGGATGAGGATGATTATGCTGAAACTGCTGTTGATGATGATGTCGATGCTTATGACGCCTATGATGCTGATGCTTATTTTTATTTACATTTATATACATATATGATTGTACCAGTTACTATCATCACCAGGTCATTCTCAAGGATTCGTCTTCATCTCCATATTTATATCATGATTGGTAGTAGGAGCAGCATGAAAAACAGGTTAAGGAAGGATATAGCTTGCCGACGTCTTGGGTGTCGCAGGGGTTGGGCATGATTCCAGGCGGGCGCTCGAAGTTGGAAGCCGCAATCTCTCGGCCAGCGCCCGAGGTCGTCAACGGCTTTCTCCATAGCGGGTTCAGCCTGGTGGCAGCGCAGGATCGCTTGCCTCTCGTGCCCATCCATGCCACCATCTTTCCTGCCCCTCCTTGCCCTCCTCGCCCCCTTGCCGTCCTCTCGCCTCTGTCTTCAGTAGTCCCCGCTTGTCCTTCTTCCCCTTCACTTCCCATTCTCCTTGCACATAGTTGTTTAACCTCATGCGCGCAACTGTCGCTACCCTGGCCAGACCACCCACCCGTATAAGGGTAGCGAGTGTACGTAGTGGGGGGCCTGGCCCCCCCCCACATGCTGGTACTTGTGCACTTACTGTTGCGATCGCAGCGCACCCTTGCCCCGACGTGCCCTACCCTGCCCAAGTGCTACCGCTACCCGGTGCCCCACCCACTCTGGTAAGGACTCCTCTGGGAAATTGCATGAACAGTCTCTTGGTCTTCCCCTTAAGCTGCGCTTCTCTTCTCTTTCCCCTTCTCCTCTCGCTTCTTCTTCCACTTCATCTTCTTCCCCACCTCTCCTCCCCTTCCCCTTCCCCTTCCCCTTTTCTCCTTCCCTTTCCGCGTCCATTCCCTTCTCCTTCCTCTCCTCCTCTCCCGTCTCTTTCTCCCCTCCGCCTCTCCCTCTCCCCCTGCCCCGCTCCTCCCGCCCCCATCGGCGAGGAGAGCATGCTCCCGGCCGAGAACTTCCGGCTGGTCACCTCCGTGGACAGCTGCAGCCAGGAGGATTCTCCCGCCTCTCTTCGGCGGCACCCCAACATATTGATACTGCACTGGAGGCCCATGCCAAGGAACACCCTGCTTGCCTCCAGGGTGGCCTGGGTTTCTTGGGTTTCGATGGTTTTGCTATTGAAAGCGTGACGCTCCCACACCAAAAATTAATGGACGTCCTGGGGTCTCAAGGTTGGGTTTCTTGTGGAAGGTTTATTGTGTTCGGGGCCCTGCTGTATGCGTGCGTCGCTCCCCCCCCCCCCCAGGGGCGACGCGCGCACCGCGAATCTTGCAGTGCATGCGTCGTGGCGGGCGCTCCCTGGCCGTGCCGCTCGGGAAACGACATACCACAAGACGGTTGGTTGTACTATATGTTCGGGTTGGACGCTTGCCTGCGGGGAGGAGACATATCAGGAGGGAAAAGAACACACACAGACACAATTAATCGTCGATTCCCAGAAGATATGGGAAAATATGGGAAATGGGGGGAAGACAAAAACCCAGAAACTATGGGAACATATGGGGAATCCGGTTACTTGTGTGTATGTATTTGTGTGTCCCAGGGCCCCTTCAACATAGTACCAGTATGTCCTGGTGCGTCCCATCTCTTTCCGGAGAGCTTCTTGGTCCTCCGGCGCGTAACGGTCGTGGCCCAGCCCCCCCCCTGTCCCTCCTGGGTAATTGTGACGATTGCACGTACGGGGGTGATGGACACATGTTCCACCACCATTGCCACAGGTAGGACGGGGGAGACGGGAGGATGGGGAGGTCCTCCCCATGTCTTCCTGCTCCTCCTCCTCCTCCTCGTGCTTCTCCTCCTCCTCCTCATCCTTTTTGGACGTTGCGCGGACCTAGATCGGATGATCGTGGCGTCTGTGAGATGGGAAAAAGTAGCGGCGGGCCTCTGCCCTGCAACAGTGCGGAATGAAGGAAGGCGCCAAGCGGTTGTAGAATAATGGACAAGCATAGAACCCAGAGCATGCTGCATGCACAGGTGAAGCAAGGAACCTCCCCTCCTCCATCGTCATCAGCCCCCTCCCACCATGTTTAGTCAAGGCTGGCAGCACAAAGCAAACAATGTGCAAAATAACAGCGAGGCTGGCACAGACTGGACTGGCTGGCCTGAGGCAGTGCAGGCGCGTACAGTTCTTGGGCTGCTACCCATGGATATCGGGTTCACCCCGAACCTCCTCGGCCCCAGGACCCGCGTGCATTTCGCAGATTTGTCGCGGGTTTAGCACGAGCCCTCAGTGACAAGTACCAGGCAACCATGTAGTAGGTTTGCCACGTCTATGACTGGCCTGTGGAGTAAATCGAACATGAACGCGCGATCGACCTGGGGCCTATGTACCGATGCCCCAGGTGTTGGCAAAGTGCGCCCCCTGAAGGGGAGAAGGGAGGCGAGAAGTGAGGAGAAGTAGCGAAGCCCTCTCGGTGGGAGGAGAGGCGGGAGGCGAGAGGTGAGGTGGGAGCAGGAGGCGAGAGGTGAGGAGAAGTGAGGAGACGTCCTCCTCCTCCTCCTCCTTCTCCTCCTCCTCCTCCTCCTCGCTCTCCAGCCTATGTCATTGGTGGTGGACAGTGGCCCCATAGGTGGGTGGGGGGGAGGGCCTGGACCCCCCTTCTTATGCTGGTTCTCGCGCGCATGCTGTGGCGATCTTAGCGCACCTCCGCCCCGACGTGCCCCCAACCCGCTCACGCGCTACTGTTACCTGCCCCCCCCCCTTACCCTTACCCTTGAGTCGGGCACGTCCCTCTACAGGAGGAATATTCAAACATAGTCGAACATTGTATGGTGACGGTTTTTCGATTGGTTGTTTTCACTATTCTTGTTTATTTTTGCACTATGTTTTATTTTTCGGCCAACTTCCGCCTGTAGGAAGACATGCCCGACCTAACATTACCCGCCCGCCCGCCCGGGTAATGGCCATTACTGGCAGTTCTGCAAAACGGGTCTTCACGTTCGCGTGTCCTCGCCAGTCCATTCAGAACTTTTGCCCACGAGAGTTGGCGGGAACAGGGACGAAAAGCGGACAACAAGGGTGAATTGAATAGAGAGTTGGCGGGCCTCTTCGGGCCATCCTTGGGAACCGCTTGGGGGCGAGGGAAGGAGGAGGAGGAGGAGGAGGAGGAGGAGGAGGAGGAGGAGGAGGAGGAGGAGGAGGAGGACCACGACGACGATGACCACGACGACGAGGAAGAGGAGGAATATTACAAGGAAGACGATGAGGGTAAGGACGAGGAGGAGAAGGAGGAGGAGGACAACGAGGACGAGGACAGAGCTCTCAAAATTGCCTCTTGGAGCTCTTTTGGGGGGGTCTTGGGGCCCTCTCGGGGCTCTCTTGGGGCCCTCTGTCCCTTGGGAGCCCTGGATGGCCTCTTGGAGACATCTTGGAGGTCATCGATCAACCAGGGAATCGGTTTCGATTTACTTCTCCCCCTGGGGCGGCCTCACAGGGAACCCCACCGAAGGCCCAAGTGGCAGCGCCCGCATGACGTCACCCTGCCCGTGTTGGCAAGCCTTTCACACTCAAAAGTGGGGGCCACCGAAGGCCCCAGTGGCAGCGTCCGCATGGCGTCACCCTGCCCATGTCGGCATACCCCTCACACTCTTCGTGTCCCCACAGGGAGCCCCACCGAAGGCCCTACTGGCAGCGCCCGCATGGTGTCACCCTGCACATGTCGGCATACCCCTCACACTTTTCGTCACCCCACCTTCGTTCCACTTGCAGGGGGGGGGGGGCGACCCATTCACCCGGGCAAAGCAAAACAGCAGCATGCGAATCTTTGGTTGCTGTTTGATTGGTTTTGGAGTTCTCCATTTTTGCTGGTTCTCTTTCACATCGAATCTCTTGTTGTCGGACTGACATGCTGATTCCCTGTGCGGCTGCTTCACGCACTGATTCCGACTGCTTGGGCGGTTCCATGTGGAGATGCACATGCTGGTAGTCCTTTGCTTCGGGCGTACCACACAGCGGGACAAACAGTACGGGAACGTCCAAGAGCAGTGCCGCCCTCGCGGGGCCAGCCCTCGCAGGATATGACGGTGCGAGCGCGTGCGAGCCGTCACGATTTGGCCGGGTTGTCCCGCTGTCGGTGGGCTGCGAGCGCCATGTGGGCGCGTCACTCTTCTGGCCCTCTCCGGGTTCTCCACAACGTCGTAGCCTCTCTCGAGTATGACTCGATCTTGCGCGGCGGACGTGGCTCAGCGGCACGCCTTGGGACGGACGAGGCTTCGACTTGTTCTTGGGATTCGTCACATCTTTGATCAGGTTTCTTGTCACGTTGTATGGAGAACAACGGAAGAGCGTACTTATTATCTGGCCAGATGTGATGCCAATGGGATTTTACGTGGCCCTGTTGATGTTCATCACTGGGTGGGCCTTCCTGGCTGATCCGTGTTCTCTCTGAGGACAGGACGCCCCTTTTCCAGTTTCCGTCAAACAATCTTTCACAGCACGGACTCCCGGGGGTCTTGTTCCGGACCCCTTCACCTGATCAGTATTTTTCGCTCCGGGCTCTTGGTTGACGGTCGCGGAGCCCAGCGAGAGGGCTCCAAGAGCTGGAAAGCAGCGAGAACCCTTCGTCGTGATTTTATTCGGGACGCGGGGGTGGTCTCGGTCTGGGGATCAAAGGTGTCGACCCCTGGACCCGTCCCCGGGGTGCGTTCCGACCAGGATTTCGAGGCGGATCCAGCCGTGGCAACGAGAACCTTGGCTGCCCACATCCTCGGGCCGCCTTTCTGCTCCTGCGCCGCCAGCCGCGAGTCGCAAGTCTGCGGTGCCTCGCGCGCGCGCGGGCTTGCCCGATGGCCGAGCGCGCGCCCGCGAGGAACTGCCAATGGTGTAATGAGGCGTGAGGCTCGCTCCTTCTTGGATGCGGCAATATCAATACACGTATCCACTGCGTCTGAGATTTTCGGACCCCCTCCCCTAGAAGCCCGAGACGCAACGGATATGGATGAATTCTGGCCTCCAGCGAGACCTGATTTTTTCCCTATCAACTGCGTCTTGGGTTTTTGGCATCCTTTTCCCAAGCGTCCGAGATGCCGTTGGTATGGATAGAAGTGATGCCCGCACTCGAGGTCCTCGAGATCAGGGATCTTCGGGCGTCTTCCCTGAAATCTGGGCATTGCGGCTTTTTCGCTTCGGGAGCCTCACGGGTCGATCTGGCTCCAGAGATGCCGCAGAGGGACGGGACCGAGGGCTCTCCGGTTGGGATCTTTCGGGCGGGGCTATAGGACGAGGACACCTCCGTGCAAGCGCGTTCTGGAATGCTCTCATAGCCTCCAGGCTCGCTCTGAGAGGGTCGCGGCGCCCGAGACGTCTTCCAGAGCTTCGGGATCTCAGAGATTCTCGATCTGTCCTCACTCGATTCTATCTTCGTCCCGGCTTCGTTTCAGCTTTCGCTTCGGTAGCCAATCATGGGAGCCTGGTGTACCCTTGTAATTCTGCCTTTAGCGTCGGTTAGCGTCGATTCGCGTCTGGGAGTCGATGGGATAGCTGAATTTACCTTCGACTAGCGTCGATCAGGGTCGACTTAGCGTCGACTCAGCGTCGATCTAGCGTCGACCAGCGTCGATTCGCAAGAGCCGACAAGATGGTATGGGAGGCTCCCATGAGTTGCCACATGACTTTCACGATGGGTACCTTCCCAAGGGTACCCTTGCATCCTTGCCTCCTCGGTCCATCCTTGGCCTCTTTCGTTGGCCGCGCCCCGCTCGAAAAGCTTCGAGATGGGCGTCCAAGGCCCTCGCATCCTTATCGCGCATCCTTGCGATACGGGATAGCCCGATGTAGCGTCGACTAGCGTCGTAATATCCTCACTCGATTCTATTTTCGTCCTGGCTTCGTCTCAACTCTCACTTCGGTAGCCAATCATGAGCGCCTGGTGTGCCCTTTTAATTCTGCCTTTAGCGTCGATCCGCGTCGATTCGCGTCTGGGAGTCGACGGGATGGCCCGATTTAGCGTCGACTAGCGTCGATCAGGGTCGACCTCGCCCCTGGCTTCGTCTCAACTTTCCGCGAGGCTGCACCTCCTTTTGCTTCCCCCCTCCGGGGCGCCGGAGCCCTCGGGGCAGGGCCAGCAGAGCTGCGGAGCGTCCCCGGGCGCCCGAGGGTGTTGGGCTTCCTCGGCCCTATGGATCGGGGGCGGCAAGGAGGGGGGTGATGACTAGGGGGGGGGGATATCCCCCTCCCTCCTCCTCCTCCTCCTCCTCCTCCTCTTCCTCCTCCTCTCCTCCTCCTCCTCCTGTTCCTCCTCCTCCTCCTCCTCCTCCTGCTCCTGCTCCGCCTCCTCCTCCGCCTCCTCCTCCGCCTCGTCCGCCTCCTCTGCCTCCTCCTCCTCCTCCTGCTCCTCGTCCTTCATCCTCCTGGCAGAAATCGCCTTTCTGGGCCGCCAACAAAAACCAAGGACGGTATCGGGGGCGGCCAAGAGGGGGGTGATGACTAGGGGGGGTGGATATCATGGCGTGGGGCATGATATTTCCTCGGGTTTCATGACGCCTCTTCTTATTTCATTACGTTCCCGCCCCCCCCCCCTGGGCCGCGCACATGCCGCGGGCCATGATCTGCGCCCCCCCCTTTTGGACGCCCCCCTCTTGGCCGCCCTCGAATTGAGCGGGGCGGTGCACGACGGCTGGCGCCCTCCGATCTCTCTTTGGCCCTGGGAGCGTCTGCGGGGGCCTCTTTGGGTTACGTCGGGTATGTCCCTCCACAGGAGGAGTCTTCAAGAAGAGTCAAGAAATGGCCGGGGGGCGATGTGTCGATTGCTCTGCATGTTTTGGCTCTTTTATGCTTCCCGGCCTGGTGAGCGGGGCGGTGGACGACGGCTGGCGCCCTCTGATTTCCGATTTCTCTGTGGCCCTGGGAGCGTCTGCGGGGGCCTCTTGGGTTAAGGCATGAATGGTCGAGAAAGAGTGAAGAATTGTCCAGAAGGAGTCTTTGAACAGCCCAGAAATACAAGGCTAGTCAAGAAATAGTCCGGGCACGATTTTCCGAGCAGTTTTGGATTCTTTTGAGGGCATGTTTTGGCTATCGCTGATGTTTCCTCCAACATCCGCCTGCAGGAGGACCTGAGTGGATGGCTGAGCGTGGTTTGGGGGGTGACATGCAAATCGGGCCCGGGGGGGGGCGGGGGTACTCCCGACACGCCCTCCGACACCCGCGGGGGGTGCACGCGACGAGGGAGGAGGAGGAGGAGGAGGAGGAGAGGAGGATGAGGAAGGAGGAGAGAAAAAGGGGAGATGAGGACGGAGGAGGAGAGGAGGAGGAGAGGAGGAGGAGGAGGAGGAGGAGCGGAGGGAGGAGGGAGGAGGGGAGGAGGTGAGGAGGAGGAGGAGGAGGAGGAGGAGGAGGAGGAGGAGGAGGAGAGGAGGAGGAGGAGGAGGAGGAGGAGGAGGAGGAGAGAGAGGAGGAGGAGGAGAGGAGGAGGAGGTAGGAGGAGGAGGAGGGGAGGAGGAGGAGGAGGAGGAGGAGGATGAGGAGGAGGAGGAGGAGGGGAGGAGGAGGAGGGGAGGAGGAGAGAGGGGGAGGAGGAGGAGGAGAGGAGGAATGGGAGGAGGAGGAGGAGAGGAGGAGGAGGAGGAGAGGGAAGGAGGAGGAGGAGGAGGAGAGGATGCGGAGGAGGAGGAGGAGGAGGAAGGGGCGGAGGAGGAGGAGGAGGGGAGGGAGGGAGGGGGAGGGAGGGAGGGAGGGAGGAGGGAGGGTAGGGAGGGAGGGAGGGAGGGAGGAGGGAGGGAGGGAGGGAGGGAGGGAGGGGGGAGGGAGGAGAGGAGGGAGGAGGAGGAGGAGGAGAGGAAGGCGGAGAGAGGGAGAGGGGGGGGGAGAAGGGGGAGGAGGAGGGAGAGGAGGAGAGGAGAGGAGGAGGAGGAGGAGGAGAGGGGAGGAGGAGGAGGAGGAGGAGAGGAGGAGGAGGAGGAGGAGGAGGAGGAGGAGGAGGAGGAGGAGAGGAGGAGAGAGAGGAGGAGGGAGGAGGCGGGGAGAGGAGGAGGAGGGGAGGAGGAAGGTGGTGGAGGCGGCGGCGGGGGGGTGTAGGACAAAGGAGGAGGAGGAGGAGGAAGGAGGAGGAGAGGAGGAGAGGAGGAGGAGGAGAGGAGGAGGAGGAGGAGGAGGCTGTCTTCGGCCCCATCCTCGCCCGACACGCCCCCGACACACCTCCGACCCCTCCCCGACAGCCCCCCGACACTCCCTCCGACAGATTCCCGGCAGCTCCCCGACAGCTTCCCCGACAGTCCCCCGACAGCCCCGCGACAGCCCCGCCGACAGCCCCACCGACAGCTCCCCGACGGTCCCACCGACAGCTCCCCGACAGCCCCACAGTGAAGCGAATACTATGACGACGACGCGCCAAATTTGTTTTTTCATTGATCTGAAGCTCCCCCGGGCAAATCCAAAACGACCGATTGCTGGTGCTGAATATCACGCGTTTTCGTGATCCACCCGGGGGAGTTGAAAATCAAGGGGTTGACCCCCCCCACAATCTTTGGAGGAGGTGTCGGGGACCCCCCTTCGGAAGTGTCGCGGCAGTGTCGGGAGCCACTCGTTGGACCCCCCTTTGGTGTGTCGGAGGGGTGTCGGCGCTCCACCGTTCGAACTGGGGGTTGGTGTCGATGACACCCCTTGGGACTGTCGGAGGGGGCTGTTTTGTGAATTGTATGACCACGTACAGCCATCCACCCAGAGGAGGACATGCCCGACCGAACTCTTGGAGCGTCTGCGGGGGCCTCTTGGGGGGGCCTCCTGCGGGGGCCTGCTGGGGCACGGTTCCAGCCTCGGCGGGGGGACGGCAGAGGGCCTCGGCTGTGCGCCCGAGGCAGGGATACTCACTTGTGGCCACCGCCTGGAGGATTGATCTTACCAGAGGCCTTGGCAGGCGGTGGATGTGGATCCATCCAGGCCCCCTGGGGCCCAAATGTATCCACATCCACCGCCCGCTGGGGTCCCAGGGCGCCGGTTCCATGGGCGGTGGATAAGGGGTGGATGTGGATGAATTCGGGCCCCCTGGGGCCCAAATGTATCCACATCCACCGCCCGCTGGGGTCCCAGGGCGCCGGTTCCACGGGCGATTATATACACACACGCGCACCCGCCTCGCTGTACACCGTGGTGGACGCCTGTGGGGCGGATGACTCGAATTTTCGGTTCGTGCTTCCCCTCTTGGGCCTTCTTGCGGTTCTCTTTAGGCCGTCTCGGGCAGTCATGGGCGCCCCTGGGGCCGTCTTGGAGCCCTCTTGGTCCGTCGCGGCTGGACGTTTCGTACCCAGCGGCGTACCAGTCTCAGACCCCCTCGCGTCGTGAACAAAAGCACGACGGAAGGTTGTTTTGCTGGTTTTTGTTTCCGTGGGCCCTTACCAGGCCTCGGGATCGTCAGATGACTACTCAGGATGGCGAGCCAATCCCTGGGGAAGGGGTCCCCAGACCTCTTGAGGCCCACGTTGCGGAGAACATCATAACTTCGGGGGTCTGGGGAGGCGGTGGGCGCCAGGGGGGGGGCGGCTGTCGTCGAGGACCAGGGGGTGGCTTCCCAGAAGGGCTCGGAGGTGTCCAAGAGATTCGGATGCAACTCCTGGGATGTCAAATTCTGACTTTGCCCTGGTCCGAAATCCGGCTTGCTCCGTCTTAATCCCGCTTGCTCAGGCCTCACCTCGCTTGGTCTGGCTTCGTCCCGCTTAATCCGCGGCCCAATCCGGCGTAGCAGCCCCCACTGGGGCTTCAGCCTCCACAGTCCTTCCGACGAACGACCTCCCAGCAGCTACCTCCCAAGAGAGAGGCCTCTTGCAGGGCGCGAGGGGGCTTCCCAGAGGCCCCTCCCGCACCCTCCCCCGGTGCGCGCCGCCCGGGTGTGCGTGC